CTGGTTAGAGCTTTGAATTCCAACAAAATTTCCCTTTAATTAGAAAATGTAATTTAAAATATCTATAAAACATAGATTTATTTTTATATTTTGAAGAAAACAAATGAAGCTTATGGAAGTACTCGTAGGTATGTAAGTAGTAATGAATGGTATTTAATGTCGGCTACATTGTGGGCTTGGCTGTTTACTCTCTGCAGCTACGTCTTATTAGTTATTTAAATCTCAGTTCTTGCTCCTGTACGCTAATTTAATTGCCTTTCATGAATCTCAAAGCCTCATCTTCATAACTAACATTCAAATTGTGCTACAAATCCAGAGACAGTCACAAGCTTGCCTTTCCCTTCTCACCTAATTGTCCCCTAGGGCCCCACTATGTTGGGAACTGGTGTCCAAACCGCTACAGTCATAGATATACAGATCAGACACAGCTGGCGGCCGGTGTTGGCAACAATAACAAATGTTCGCGCTGGAGATAAACTCCGCTTGTTCTGGAAGTTACGTTTGCTATGCATTTGTTTTAACCGACTTCAACAAAAGGATTTTAAACTTTCGCGTTCCATTTCAATTAAAATACCACGGCTGCAGCATCGCAGCCGAAACGTCAAGCCGTGAGTACATAATGTAACTCATTAATAAAAGTCGCGTTAAGACCCATGTCTTAATATTTTAATTCAACAAAAGGAGGTTCTCAATTCGCTTGGTATATTTTTTGCAAGGATAGACGTCATTTAATTTTGTAAAGATGACAATCCTCATGGAGATTAGGCTACACGTGTTTTGGAGAAAATTCGTTTAAGATGTTAATCGCCTGTGTGTTTGAATAAGATGAAAAAAGATGGCTTTCATATCAAAATGTGTATGAAATTGGATAAGTTACATTGTTCGTTTTCAGCCACAGGGCGTCTGCCGTGGTTACATAGTTATTTCCATTCAAAAGAAGATAAGTAAATTAAATGCAATTAGGAATGGATTTCATTAAGTTTAAAAGTGTTATACAGTTAATAGCCGAAGTTATTTTTTGATACTTGATTATAATAGAGCTACATAAAGACCTATTTCAGTCTCAAGCTACGTAACACCAAAATTGAGAGCGCACGAAGGCCAAGATCTATAAATTGTATAGAGAAATTCATTATTTTAAGCCGAATAAACAAAGGACATTGTCAGAAACCGCCTAAAAAACCGCCAAAAAACATTAACCCATCATAATTATTTTCTATTTTTTTTAATACATTAAGCACCCTTTCGTTCTAATGGACACTTAANTTTACACTAATTTTGTTCATGGCCGTCGTTGCCGTCGAAATCCGGAGCTTATGCCGAAGAGTTACGGCTCACTATCGCATTGACGATCTCGTTTGTGCGTAGTGAGAACGGATTGCCTGCCGGAGGGTAGCGAGGGTAGGTTTCAGGCAAAAATTATGCCAGTTCGTAGATAGTGGCTGTGTTATTTGAGGTAATATACGGACGGCAGCATGTCAGGCTAAGTATTGTATCTTATCTAATTGTAATAGATGCTATTTTGCAACGAAAACGTAATGAAATCTAACGTTGATGACTGTACGAACTCATAACATATTTGCTCAGGAACGCCATTTTCACCCTTGACCTTGGAGATTGATTTCACTTTGGAACTTAGACGTGACTGACATCGTCCTATTGACATGGGTATAAAAGTTTGTCAAACATTTAATTTAAAATTCTAATTTATCTTTAACTCACTAGTAACAAAAAGCTTGAAGCATGCACGGTACGGTACTCTTAGGCTGAGCTGCACCACCTAACTTTGATCGTATAATCCCAACTATATAATATTATAAATGCGAAAGTAACTCTGTCTGTCTGTCTGTCTGTCTGTCTGTCTGTCTGTCTGTCTGTCTGTTACGCTTTCCCGCTTAAACCTCGCAACCGATTTTGATGAAATTTGGCATAGAGATAGTTTGAGTCCCGGGAAAGAACATAGGATAGTTTTTATCCCGGTTTTTGAAACAGGGACGCGCGCGATAAAGTTTTTCTGTGACAGACAAAATTCCACGCGGGCGAAGCCGCGGGCGGAAAGCTAGTATAATATAACGTATAACCGGTGTTTTTTGTATGGAGTTTGACAGATTTTTGACGTTTGTCAAAGTTAAAGTAAGATGGTGCAACGCAGCCTTAATAATTTTGGTCAAACTGCCCCTTAAAAACATAAACTACTTATTTAACGAACCGAATAAAAAAGCCAACAATAATAAATCAGTTTTTCATTCTGCACACGGATTAACTGAACGAATATTCTGAAATATGGCTGAAAAAGATTTTAATTAACACTCAATAAGAGCATTTTCATGTTTCGTTCTATTCGTTTTGTACATAGTTCCTGTTTGGAGATAATAATTGTTATTTACGACTTTTAGCAGAGTTACAATCCACTTTATTATGCTTTGTTAGTTTTTCAGTTACACATTTTTCGTTTTCATTTAGTACCTAATACTTTCCGATGGGAATCACTATTAATTTCTATACAATAGCAGCTTTAAAAGAAATCGTATTTGTGACAGTAGATATTAAGTTTTAACAATAGCATGGTAAAATATTTGATTATAAATGTTTGTTGCAATATTCACCTAATTTTGAAAATGATTTTTCCAATTTAAAAAATCCTCTGTTACTTTGGAACTATACTATAATACATTTAGAGTAGGCGCACACCGTTGATTTTTAGTTGGCCGATAGTTGTGCCCGATTTTAAATTGTATGAAGAATCGGCCAAATCGAATCGGCGTAGTGTGCGCACTCCCATACATGCCCATACTGATCAACTGCCCGACTAAATTATCGGCCGACGACAAAACAACGGTGTGCGCCGACTTTTAAAAACTCCTTTTGTTTTAATAATAAAATGTCCTCTTCAAAACTTTTTGGGAAAACCACAAGTGATGATCCTTCAAAGGATGACTGAAAAGGATGGTGGGTGTTACCTAAATATCGCTAATTTATGAAGGAAGCAAAAATTGGCCATGTAAAAGCAAGTTAAAACTTTCAAATCAACGATAATAATGTTTGCCTTTTTCTGTACACAAATAGTACATTACCAAGTGCGTTTTTTAAAACCTCCACTTATTTTTTAGGAATATGCTAGTTTTGCCGGCAAACAGCTCGTGTAAAATAAAAAGGTTTCAGTTTTAAAATTTGACTGGCTGTGAAAACAGACAAGTATATTTTTGGTATTTTCACGCGAACATTTTACAGGATCCTTTGAAACGGCTGAGGGCTATACAAATACTCGGTTTCGAATTTAATTTTGGAGATTGCATCGATATATTGCGGTTTTATAGCCAAGTGGACAAGATTTATTGGCAAAATACTCAATTTCGGATGTTGCATGTTTTCGATATCGACGAATTTTTTAGTGCGCTATTTGAATGAGTCAAGAGTTTATATTTTTACAACGGAATTTCAATTCTCAGTTTGCTCTTGCATTATCAAAAGATATTTTTATTTTTTTTAAACCTGATTTATTTGTAAAGTGTTAATAAGGTCACATAATTTCTTAAGGCACCTAATTCAGCCACGTCCAATTTCTTTCTTCCATGTGACTATCCCTTATTTGAATGGGGCAATTAGTGTAGGGTTTCATCATCATCATCATCATCATCAACAGCCCTTTACAGTCCACTGCTGGACTATGAGCCTCCTCCACTATGGTGGAGGGATTTGTCTTGGGATTTGTAGGGTTTCACGTATGTATATTTGCTCAATGAACTGAGGGGAATGGAGTTACAAGCGAGGGCAACCCTCCAAGAAACCTCCAACTTTCCAGACATACTTCTGTTCTTTGAAAATATTTAAGTGCATCCACTCAAAGTGTAATTTAAACGAGCGAACATTATACACACTTAAAATATTCGGTTTTTTACTTGTAAATATTTGGAGAGAACTCTGTGGAACCTCGGAATTAACGATTGAATTCTTAAAAATTCTTTTATATCAATAATAATATGAGAATATAAAAAACATTGCTGAGACAAACATTTTACACTCAATAAGAGCATTTTCAGAGTCCTACTGGGCGCAAAATACAACGCCTTATTACGCAATCTTAGAGGGCTGTGATAGACTTATGTCTATTATATCTTTCCAAGTTTTGTGAAAAGTATTGAATACGTTATAGTTTAACGCTATAAAATATCCAATAGTTTTTAATATCAGCCCTTTAGGTATAAAATTATTTGCTAACGGTACAGACTTGTAACACTATAGCTACAAACGCGATACAGGAGCGGCGCGATAAGACGAAGCGTGATCGATGCGGCTCTTAGCTCCGCTCGCTCAGCTCACAAATAATGATGTTCAGCACCATCGGTCGGGGACATGAGACTCATCTAGTTCGATAACCTGGTGGATGTAGATAGCATAGAACAGCATAAACTATGTGATAACCTAGTGGATATACGAGTATATAGCATAACCAATAAACCCACTAGCCAATTGGCATTCTTTTAATGCGCTATTTAAACGTGATTTCTTAGATCTTATATTGGAAAAAGATCCCATGAGTTATTCGCTAACTTTATTTACTGAAGTAACTTTTGATTTCAAAGCAATCAACGAAAATAGTAGAAAGGAATTAACCTACGAGTAATATGGTTATAATCATTACTTACCTACAACTAATTACAGAGCTACTGAATAGTGCAGGATCATTTCTTCCCATTGTATTATACGAGCATTTGCGAAACCAACCCATAAATTAACATAAACAATTGAAGATAAACGAAACAATCTCATAATTTCTATTCTGTCTAATTACAACGCTGTAACTCGCACCTCGGTTACGACATTTAGCATTAACTTAAGTACCATCTTAACATTACTGTACTAAGTAGGTATACGGTTAATTAACATCCGTCACGGTCCGTTTTCCAAAATTCTAATAACAAGACCTTGAAAATTATAGTTTATTTCCTACGGCTTTCATATAAAAGCGTCGGGTGGCACCTAGTCATCATCATTCAAGACTAACTTGAAGATAAGGAACCTACAAAATGTTTGCCAAGGTAAATAAATTTATTTTTTCACAGTCAACACTGAACAATAGCCGAAAGTAAAATCATATTTCTGCTACGATAAAACAAGCTTCCGTTGTCGTTTACATTTTTGAGAGTGCGAAAGAATAAAGGGTCTGCTCTTAAAGTGCAAACAGCAACATTAAAAGTGGGTGCTTGGTTTCGTTTCATAAATGGTCATTTAAATTCTGTCTTACTTTCATTCTGTCATGTGTAACCGCCACTATACCTACATTTCATGTGGTATTCTTGCTTAGTTAATCTGACTTTTTTACATCCACAAGTGGCGGTCTCTAACGAGCAATTTTCAACAGGCGTTGTAACAAAATAATTCAATACTGAGTGTTACATAACTTCATCATTTTTTGGTATTCCAGATTGCCGTACTCGCCTGTTTCATCGGCCTAGTCCGTTCGGGTGCTCTCAGCAACCCGGCTCTGAATGGACTAGGGGCGTATGCTGGCGGCTACGGAGGCTACGGCTATGGCGGCTACGGTGCTGGATACCCTGGCCTGACCCCTGGAGGCGTAGCCACCTCTTACGCCAACTTCAACAAGTACTCCGGCCCGCATGTGCCTTACAACGGAGCGTACCCTGGCGCTTACAACGGAGCGTACGCTGGCGCTTACAACGGAGCGTACCCTGGCGCTTACAACGGAGCGTACCCTGGCGCTTACAACGGACTGGCTGGTCCATACAACCGCGCTGGATTAGCTGGTCTCGGTCCTTATGCTGGAGCTGGTCTCCCATATGCTGGTGCTGACGTGTACAATGGACTGCGAGGAGCATACGGGCCTGCTGGTCTTCCTTACGGGAATCCCCTAGGATATGGCGGCTATGGTGCCGGCATTGGTGCTTATGGAAACAATGTGTGGTAGAATTTCTTTCTGATAATATATCTATGAACATTGTATTCATATTTGAATGGCAAATAAAGCAGTTTATAAAAACCAATATCTTTCTTTCATCCTAGACGTATCACAACCCTATTGTTAGGACTAAGTCCGATTTATTTTCCTGACAATCAGGTTAAATAAAGTATGCAATCTTAGGAGCAATCCTTAAAAAAATGAGAATCTACTCCTCAGTCGTGAACGTCATTTCTTTTATCACTAGATCACGGAAATATAGATTTACTTAGTAATTTTAATTTATACGTTTTAATTGACTTTCATCCGAGGTTACAAAGGCAAACATTCCCATAATATGTAAGTAATTGCCCGTAGCAATCTTCTCCATAATGAGGCTGTACCAAAGAAAATTCACATCCTGAGACCAGTCAGGTGCTGTGTTGAAGGGACCACCACTTTTAACCGATGACCCACTTCAATTAGATTGGGCCTTATTATTAAACGGTTTGGTTATTAATGGCTATTACTTTGGGCCAATTACGAATGACACGCCAGTGAAGGAAACTGGAGAGGCCCTTACATTCAGATTGAATTGAGTTTAAATTAAATACGCAAACGAATTGAATAAGTGGCTATAGAAATTTAAATTACAATCCCCAATCTTGATTGAGTTAATTGAGTTGGATTAATAAGGAATTTAGCGTATTAATAAGTTATTTATTAACAATTTTCAGCAAGTTATATTTCTGGTCAAAATTTTACGTAATTTGACTAGTTCTGAACCTAACTTTTTCTATCTCCAATCTTTTGGAGATAGAAAAAGTTAGGTTCAAAAGCCTTTGACTTTTTCTGCTACCAGTACGTAGCTAATAATTGCGTCGCCCGATCTTCCAGGTGATATATTGCTAACTACCAAGACCTAGGTAGACCTAGTGCTAGAGATAGCTAGGATTAAACGACCGAACAAGGTTTACACAGGATCCCGCCTCGGGCCTTTTATGTATACACGAATATAAGCTGCAGGTAAACACTGTTGCTTGTTCATGTGAGTTTGGGGATACAGGCAATCAATAGGCTTGTAACGATACACCAACCGATAGGTAACCTATACAGGGTGTCCCAGAGTGGATCAAATAAAAAGGATTGGATCTACGACTCAAATGCAACAATTTTACCCAAGAGATTCAAATCTTCCGAAAAAATTTAACTTTTTCGTAGGTACAAATTGTCTTTAGTAATCAGCCAATAAGTAGCCTGTAGAAAAGTTGTTGCATTTTCATAGTAGAATCTATCATTTTTGTTTAATTCATACTTACAGGAACATCTTCATGTTTCGCCAGTTTGGTTGGTTTTGGTTAGGTTAGGTTAGGCTTACTGCTCTTTTAGTTTTGCTAAAAATAGACCTGACCCTGCTGACATATAGATCAGGGGATTGCGAGAAAAACGGATCTGTGTTTGATCCGACTTATGTAATTGAAATCACAGACGGACTCAAAATAAACGTCGTAATTTAATTACGCCTGTTCCAAACAAATACGAGTTTGTTGATACATTAATCTTACTTTACTAGCTGTGCCTGCGACTTTGCACGCGTGAAAATTGTTTGGATATTTTTTCCCGTATTCCATATTTTTCAGTGATGCTCTGCTCCTATTGGTCGTAGCGTAATGGTATGTAGCCTATAGCCTTTCTCGATAAATGAGTTATCCAACATACAAATAACTTTTCAAATCGGACCACTATGCACTAGTTCCTGAGATTAGCGCATTCAAACAAACCAACTCTCATGGTATAGAAATCAGTATTTGATTGACTTTCGTTCAACTCATTTACTCATCGTTAAAGCGATGAAAACGTTAAACATCATTAGCAAAATACGTTTTTTATATCTGTCAATTTCGTTTGTAATAACGGTTTTTCTTTTACCCACCCACACATTGCTCAACAAGGCTCATCGGTGAAACCGTCCGGACGACCTCCGTGTCAGCACAAATCTGCGACCGGCTCTAAATTGCTTTGATCGTTTTTCCGGATGGTTAATGAATTATCCGCCCCAGTAAACCCCTCGACTGAACGGGCCTGTGTAACTAATATTATGTCCTCAATTAAAACGTACGCTCAGTATCCCAGGATTCAGATAAGTTATCCGAATTCAGACGTTCAATTCATGGAAAACTATGCGGTGAGCGATGTTATGGCTGGGGTAATGCTTACTTAGGTAGTTTAGCTTCAATTTCATGAGTTAATTAAAATCTTTGTGTAAAGCTTGCGTGTGCTTACGTCTGCTAACTACTTTCAGATCGATATCATAAAGTATGTGCGACGATTCATCTGCCATTATTTATTTGTTTACGTGTACACTATCGTATATTCCTAAACCTGTCTTCTTCCTAAGTCTGGTAACATAGTGGAAAATACTCTCTCCATGTATCTATAGCCAATACGGAATTGTATCTAGGACCAAGTCATAAGTCCCAATCCTTGAAGGTTAGACAACAAAGCCTAGGCTAGGATACTGTTCTTCACCAAACTACGTAACCAATATTAAGTCCTCAATTAAATCCACATATAAGAGTGGTTTTTGGAACACATCCAAGCCCGTGGCTTTGGCTGGCTTTGCTATTTTTAGGTGCGCAAAGGCTTTGGATACTGATACATCGCTGGTTACCTAATCGAATTTGGGATATTAGACGCTCAGCTGATGGTTATTGCAGCTGTACGTTGTCTGAATTTGTCCATTAAAGTATGTAATTTCACTGCATTGGCTTTGGATATGGTGCTTTAACTTTTCAGTTAAGTTAGGGCTGTTTTAAAATCCTACTAATCCTACTTCCTACTAATCCTACTAATTCCTACAAATCTATACTAATATTATAAAGAGGAAAGATTTGTACCTATTTTTGTATGTTTGTAATGAATAGGCTCAAAAACCACTGAACGGATTTTGATGAAACTTTACAGTATTATTGTTCATAATCCAGAATAACATATAGGCTATAATTTATGACGATCTGTGACAAACGAAATTTCACGCGTGCGAAGCCGCGGGCGGAAAGCTAGTATAATAAATGCGAAAGTTTGGATGTCTGGATGTCTGGATGTTTGTTGCTTTTTCACGCAAAAACTACTGAATGGATTTTGTTGAAACTTTACAGTATTATTGTTTGTAACCCAGATTAACATATAGGCTATAATTTATGCCGATCTGTGTCACTAAATTTCACGCGGGTGAAGCCACGGGCAAAAGCTAGTTTTATATGAAGTGTTTAATAAGGTTTGTTGATTATTAAATACTCTATTCCTCCATTTCCATTCTATGAAAAAATATATTTTCTTTGGACTGAATTCCTATCAGGTAATTGATAAAATGTACTCTGTATCAATAGGCCTTGGCAATATTGGAAACACGTTATGATACAAATTTACCAAAATACTGAATGAAAAGTCACAAAGATCTATGTAGTTAGAAATTATTTTGCTTATGCATTAATACTGTGTGCTTAAAATAGCTGTGTCAATATCATCCCCATGAGTAAAATTGTTAGCATCCATTGGCGGACTATACAAATTCAATCGGCACATCCTCGTTCAACTCCAAAGTATTGGCTGCACCGAGGCTTCATAGTTCGAAACTTAATCCAGACATTTGATATCTTTGCCGAACTCCCAAGTTTCTGGAGCAATCAGGTGGGGAAAGCACCCTTAATAGATGCTTCCAAACTTGAAGGTCTACCTACAGGTGAGTATAGACTAAAAAGCATTTGCTTGTATAGTCAAATGATTCTGAAACGCCAAGTGGCAAAAATCAATATCATAGAAGTAAGAACGTAATTACATAGAATTGCTCTAGAGTGTAAACTCACCTTACCTACTTGAAGATTAGCGTAGCCTTAAACGAAGTAACATCGCCTTCTCTCGACGCTTATTAATTTCAGGATGTAGTGGGTGGGGTAATTTCATTTTTGTACTTGAATTTAATTTGTTTGAAAGGTTATGTATGAGTGGCAGAAGCTCGCAGAAAACATAATAATGGATTTGGAATTTTTAATATATTATTTAGGTAATTGGACCAAGTAGGTCGACAAATTGCAAACGATGATAGGATATTCGAGCCCGCGTCAAAATTCTTTTGTGTTTTCTGTTTCTCGCTTTGCAATGGAGAGAAATCTAGTTACGTTCGTTAGTTTATGAATATCTGAATAATTAACGAATTTCTTATTTTTGTTGGTAACTGTAATCATGTCCTCGAGACTCAATCTCCCCTGGTTAGGTTTCATTGTCGGCTATAAGCTCTAGATTTTGGCTATGAATATTCATGGGTCAAGTGGTGGTGGGATTAGTCTCTTTCTTTATAAAAGCGTACATGGGTACATTTTAGGTTTTATGAGACGCATATTTTGTTTTTCACCGCTAGACCATTTACTAAGTATTTTTGTCTTTAAAGAGCTCTATTTTTTGTGGCAATAAATCAAGATAAGACCCTTGTGTGAATTGTAGTCTCAAATAAAAATTGTTTTTTCCAGGTATCTGGCACAACCACGAGAACACAGTGGCACTGTGCGCAAGCGCCGGCGGCGCGGGCCGGGGCCGATAGTACCAAGGCGCGGCGCGCCGCCCGCCCCGCCCCGCCCCCCGCCCCGCCATGGTGCGCGACAAGAAGCTGCCCGCCAAGCAGGACTCGCAGAAATGTAAGTCTTAAGTCAACTTGTTTTATTTAGACTAGGGTTTACAGTGTACCTACCATGAGTTTACGTTAAGTGTACTCGCTAGCGAGTACGTCAAAAATCTCTATGAAGATTTTGTTTCTTAAGAGTAGCCGCTAGGGGCGCTGCACAATATGTCATACAACTAATGTCATTTTTTTATGCAGTCGATAGCGAGCACACCTAACGTAAACTCATGGTAAGCACACAGGTTGACAATCTCTACCATCCCTCTTGGGCCTTTTTTGGCAGATTAAGTGGGGCTTGAACCCACTAAAAGCCTGGGGTGTTCCCTCTGCCGCATAGTAGTCGGCGCCTCGGGTACTAGAAACGACCAAGACGCCTTCCGCGGATATCACGCCCTACACGGGACCCAACAAGCCTCCCACTTAATGGGGGCCAACAGAATTAGCCGGGACCACGAGGCCAATCCCGTCCGACGGTGCTGGTAGCCTGTGTAATGCAGGAGGAGGCACCCCCGAGTCTCCAACCTGCTGGCCACCACCAAGGGGAGGAAAAAGCGAACGGTCATACAACCGCCTTCTAACTCCCCTCCGTCCCCCTTGGGCCTGGAAACAGACCTTCAGCCAGAAAAGGCTATGGTCTACTTAAACGCCGTAGGCCGCGCCACAATGCTTACTTACTTAGAAATGTACTGTTTCAGACTTGACGTCGGCTTAAGACATCCTTGTGAACGTTTGACGGTGACGTCGTAGACAGTAGCCATACAGAAGTAACTGAAGTTGTACCATCCAAAGAGTTTTTTCAGTTTTCGCATGTTACAAAAATTACCTCATTCATACAATAATTATATATTTTTTTCATTCATTCATTCATTCGTACAGGGAATGATTACTTAACTCATAAAGTAATTACATTACAAATAGTAGGTAAATAAACTTATTCAATGGGTTGATTGAAAATCGTTGAGATTTTCAGTTCCAGTATAGAAGAATATTAGATTAGGGCAGATGTCAGGTTCACTGTTAACTACTTATTGTCCTGTCCTTTACACCCTGTATTGAACTCGGCATTGAACAAAGAGTGCCAAAAAGAGAGCAAAAGTCGCATTAACGAGCAGTCTACGGAGTCTAATAATCAGATGTCAAAGCGAGGATTAGGCTCTTATGTCTGTTAGAATTAGGACAGAATAAGATCCAAAAATAGATGTTTTATTTTGAAAAGATTTCTTGTCTCCAAGATTATAACTTTTTTTTGCAACATTTTTCATTGATGCTCTGCTTCTATTGGTCGTAGCACTCGTAGCATGCCATGCGACGGTCTTAGCCTTAAGAGCCATTTTACATTTTCGTGCGAATTTCTAAGATTTTGGAAGCATGAATTACTATCTTAAGCAACACCCAGAGATTACTTAATAACTGCGAAAGATAGGTCGATCCTTGTTGTTGACCATTAATGAAACGGATTTACTAAAACTCTTTTGCTTAATTCACAGTGCCCCATCTCCCACAACCATTTTACGAAAAAATTGCCGCAGACTCATTTTCAAAGTCCTGTATCTATTATTTATGCTCATATAATAAGCTTAAAAATATAAAGTAATCATCGGACATATATTCTTGTAGTTCATTAATGAAATAGATTCTTGAATTTCATTACCATTATTGAGTAAAATCTAAAAATAATTTGGCAAATTTGAAGATTAACGTCACATTTTGATCGTGGTTTTTGGTTTAAAAACACAGCAATAACTGCAATAAAAGTATCCCAAAATAAAGAATATTCATTGTAGAATTGATTTCTACAGTTATTGTTTAAATATTAGTAACCACTTTGTCAAAATATTGATGTGAATATCAGTATAAATTACAATGCGCAAGCCGACATCGATTAGTATGGCGCGAGCGCCCGTCAAGGCAGGACGTGTGTCATTTTTCCCGCCGTGACGTTTACGTGCGTTCGTGTCGTGAAGCGGTGATTTGTACGGCGACCAAATACATTTGATACTATGCCGAGAGGCTGTTTCGGTAAGATAGTAAGATGAATTATTTTAGTTATTTGTTTACTTATAATAATATTTATTTATTTATTTCTTAGCTCTGTCTGATAATGGATCTGGAGAAGATGCAATGGCCACCTCCGTAACAAAACAATAGAACCCTATGGAGTTAAGGCTTGTGTGATTCGCCTTGACGAATATTTCGTATCCAGGGTCCGATGATGGAGCTGTAAGGGGGCAGATTATTTTTTTTCACTATGTGACTGTCTTTATTTTGTACTTAATATAATATTTTACATATTATACCTATTCGTGTTTCATTATGAATCGAAATATAAAAGACTTAATAAACTCTATTAAAAATTTAAATTAATTAATCAAGTTTGAATACCTCATTCTACCTTAAAATTAATAACTTAAATCAAGTCTTAATACGGTCACGGCTCAAGATTTTTTTGTCCATTTCAGCGTTCTTTTTACTCTTTTGACGTTGCGTTGACAGCTTTTACCTAAATTCGCGCGGAATATTTTTGTGAAATGGCTCTTAATCTACTTCTAATATTATCAATGCGAAAGTTTGTATGGATGTCTGGATGTTTGTTACTCTTTCACGCAAAAAGTACTAAACGGATTTTAATGAAACTTTACAGTATTATTGTTTATAACGTAACGCATATTTTTATGCTCCATGTAATATTTTCAGTTACAACAGTATTTTTGTGAATATTCCAAGATTCTCTCTTCGATACGCCAGTATTTGGTTTTCAATCGGAGTCGGGAGGTTCACGGCTCGTATTACACAAATGATCTTGTACTCTGAGCCTTATCTGCTTTCTTTTGTCCTCCGACCGCAAAAGTGCCGCCATTTTCTTGTAAACCATTGTTGTTTTGTTTTGTAAGATATTTGGTTTGTTTACTTTATCTTTATTTCAGTGTTTACTTATAAAACATTATCAATATAGTTTTATACTTGCTATAAAGTCGATGCTCTTTTTTTCTGTCTAGGCATTAACTACGAATGACAATACCTTCATCTAAGACTTTTACTATTTTCTGTGATCAAAATACAAAACCCTCATGTGCCATCGACTGAAACTATCTATAAAATTAACCATATTTTTTTTAATATATTAAAAAAAAAGTCTTATGATGTCCGATTTAGGTTCAAATCAAACCTTTTTTGCCTCAAAAAATCCTATAAACTCCCCAAGTTGCTTTAATTCAGCGATCCAGTTGCAAAATATGTTTGCTGGCTTAACGATAGTCCCGAAAGCGATACGAATGGGAGGGTCGCTCTCAGAAGTATTTCCGTTTGGAGCTTGATGCAGGCTCGATGTGGCTTAATTATTGCTGCAGTAGGGTCTACGGTTTCCCATTCGCATTCGATGAAAAACGAGAGGAGAAAATTTCCGCAATATCCAACAATTGACGATTTTCTTGGCAATTTCATAGCTATTCTATTAGGCTTGGTTGCACAACCTTACTTTAACTTTAATAAACGTCAGAAATCCGTCAAAAACCATACAAAAAACGTTATAGTTCCGGTTAACGTTAGTTGGAGCAACTACTAAGCCTTATTGTTTGCTTGGAATTTTATTTCAAAGCCTAACATCGATTACGAAATTTCGGTTAAGTGGTCCCATTTAATGCAAAAATGTTGGTACTGAGTTTTCGTTTAATTTTCCATACAAAACGAATTGTGTAAGTTTTGTACGTGTGTCATTGCTGAAACCAGTTCGTGAAAACAAACATAAAGGGATAATGGTAGACAGTTTTTGTTTAAACACAGGAGAAAATTCTTATCTTTACAAGTAAATAAGTTTCAATATTAGTGATAAACGTACCTAATGTAGGTATAACTTAAAATACTTACCGTGTATTTCACTCCACCATTTCATTTTGTATGATTCCGATTCTCTGAAAAAGTATTTCCAAATCCACCCGAACATGATAAGGTTACTCCGGCTGTCCAGTCGTGCAAAATATCCAATAAACAGTTGGATTCTGTCCGAAATATTTTGTGCCCGGTTCAGATGCATTGATAAATGCCTTAATTACGGCCTCGATAGTGTTTCGGATTTTTCGGATTTTTTAGTCCTATTTTAGTGGGATGTATTTTTCGATGGAATAAAGTAATGGTTTTACGCGTTAAACGAATTTAGAAGGATTTTCATTGAAAAAGCAATGAGAAAAATAAAATTTATAGGGATTTGAACAGATAATACTCATGGATTCGTGAATGTTTTAATATTGTTTTAAGTAAGATATCTTTAGATCTTTTCTAGTTCGTTCGTTTCAGCCAAATGACGTCCACTGCTGGACAAAGGCCTCCCCAAGGTTTTCCACAATGAACGGTCCTGCGCTGCCCGCATCCAGGCTCTTCCCGCGACCTTTACCAGATCGTCGGTCCACCTAGTAGGAGGCCTGCCCACGCTACGTTTTCCAGCCCGTGGTCGCCACTCGAGAACTTACCTGCCCCAACGGCCATCGTCTCTACGAGCTATGTGCCCCGCCCACTGCCACTTGATTTTAGCAATTCTGCGAGCTATGTCGGTTACTTTGGTTCTCCTACGGATCTCCTCATTTCTGATTCGATCACGCAGGGAAACTCCGAGCATAGCCCGCTCCATCGCCCTTTGGGTGACCTTGAGCCTTCTTATGAGGCCCATAGTAAGCGACCACGTTTCGGATCCATATGTCAACACTGGCAACACACACTGCTCGAAGACTTTCGTCTTGAGACACTGCGGTATTTCGGACATGAGTATATGGCGAAGCTTCCCGAACGCTGCCCATCCGAGTTGGATTCGACGATTGACCTCTTTCTCGAAGTTGGACCTACCTAACTGGACTGTTTGTCCCAGGTATACATAATTGTCGACAACTTCGAGTGTAGAGTCTCCAACCTTCAGAGGAGTGGGTGCAACACGGACATTAGACATGATTTTTGTCTTGTCCATGTTCATTCTGAGGCCCACTTGTTGAGAGGCTCTACTGAGGCCATCGAGCATTGTGCCTAGATCCT